ATTTTAGCTCAAGGAACTGTGGTAGTCCATTGATGGCAGATAGTAGAATGGCCTGCAGCTATGAAGATTAGCTATAAGCATAATATAGTGAAACCAAAAAGCTGCTGCAGGCGATAAGCAACAGTGTCAGAAGGATATAGTGAATTGTGGGGGTGAATGCTGTTTTACAAAATGCCACATAAATTCAAAAACAGCCTGATGGCAGGGTGAGTATGAACCTGTCATATGTAAATGACTAACCCTGTGATTGATTGATATTGTCAGCCTCAGCTTTGCCTGCTTCAGCTGCCATAAGAAACAGGGGGGAGGGACTAGTTAAGGGGCGAAGGGGGGGGAAGGTGCAGGAGGTGTGTTTTTTTCCATTGTAGGACGTGTCTTCCCAAGAAACGAAAGTGAATCTCCAAAGGGGCCGGCTGACCAACTGCCCTACATTCCTGATGAATGACGTTGCCAGACGTGATGCCACCTGACCTTTGGGAGACCTTTGGATTGGATGATGGTCAATGGACACGGGGGGGGGGGGAGAAGCTTAGTAGATGCTATTTCGCGCATTTTGCTCACTACCTGGGTTGCGATCATTTCATATTCAGTAAAAGTACTAATCTCTTCAAAATGATTGAGTTTGGGTTTTCCTTTCCTGGATATTGAAGGAAGCATACCTGACAGATATATATATATCTAAAGAATGTAAATATTAATTCCCTTTTCCAATAACCATCCCCTCATAACTCCTCTTTATCTTGACTCCGCCTCCTTAGTATAAAAGCCCCATCCCACTCCTTCATCTAGCTCTCTCCTGTCATGATACCTGTTAAGATGTTTAATAGAAAGGCTTCCGGTTTGATTTCCGTCGCCACCAGATGGTCTTTTGAGACCGCCAGCCCCGTCACTCGTAAAGAGCCGCCTTTACATCTGAAAGGCGGCTTGAAAAACTCCATTTCCATAAGGAAATGTGAGATAGAGCAGGTGAGGGCAGGTAGAGCTCTCTGTGAAGTCCCCAGAGTTTTTCCTTTACTCTTGGGGACGAAGCAGGATGAGGCTCCCTATTTCCCTCGCCGCTGCTCCGGGCTTCGGGAGACCTCTGCTTCTTGCAGAGCCAGGCGATGAGATCAAGCCTTTCAATGAAAACAACAGATTGCTTAAAGAGGATGAGATCTGGACTTGGAACCCTAAACTGCAAGTATTTTTAATGATTTTATAAGCGTTTTTAAGCGAAGGAAAAAAAAAAGCTTAAAATGGCGACTGCTGAGGCTTGAGAAGTAGCCAAAAGTGAAAGTCCTTCTGTAACAAGATACAAAGTAACGAAGCAAACAGTGCTGGCTAGAATAGAGAAAAGAAAAAATTTCTATTCTAAGTTTCTTTTTTTTTTGGAGATCTGATATTGATCTTGTTGGAGAGAAGTCCTCTTTCTTCAAAAAGAGTTTGTCTGTGTGGCAGGATGGCGTTAAAATTAACAAAGCCAGACAAACAAGCAGCGGGGGGGGGGTTTCCCCCATTTACAATTGTGTGAGCAAGTTTCTAGTTTACAGACTCAGAAGAATGGTTTTAATTTAAAAGAATTTGTTTTGAAGGAATTGGCAAGACATGACGAGATTGTGAACCAGAATTTTGAAAAATTTAAGCAGGAAATTAAAGAATTCATACAATTAAAGTATGATAACTTACAAAGAAAGATTGTAACAGTGACTAATGCTTTTTCAGAAATAGTTATAAAGATGGATACAAATATCAAGTTATTAGAGTCTAAAATGGAGGAAGTTGATGATAAGATTTATAATTTGAACAATAAAATACAAAGAATGGAAAACGATTTGATAAATATTCAAGACAATAGTTCTGAAGTAAAGTCCAAAAAGGAAGCTGATCACGAGACTTACAATACAGAAAATATAAAACAAGGGATTGAAAGAGAAGTTACAATGATGCAATACAGGCTCACAGAATTTGCGGTCAGAATGAGAGGATTACAGGAAAACAATAGAGATAATTTAAGAAAAATATCTGCTGAAGTTCTGGCTGGGATTTTAAAGATACATCCAGAGGAGGTATCTTGTAAAATCGACAACGCCTATAGAGTAAATCCCTGGATTGCAAAGCAAAGGCAATTGCCCAGAGATGTGGTGATTTATTTTTACAGATAAAGAAATAAGAAATGATATTGTGCAAAAATCTTTTAATTCTACTCTACAATTGTATGGAAGAAAGATCTGGATATATAAAGAGTTGCTGCCCAAGATATTAAAAGATAGAAAGAAATTCGGATTTTTGGTGACTGAGCTAAACAAACAAAACATCTCATTCAGGTGGGATGTCCCAGTTGGCATAATATTGAGATATCAAGGAGAAAGATATCAACTAAATTCTGTTGAAAAAGCGGAAGAATTTTACTATAAGGTTCTTAAAATGGGTTCAACATCTTCATGTATAATACATGAGTGGAATAAAGAAAAGCAAAATCAACAAGAGATAGAAATTCAGGATAAGCAGAAAGAGATGGAAGTAATGGAAAAACAACAAGTTACAGAGGACTTTGTAGATGAGCAGCTTCTGGATTCTCCTTCAGAGGTTACAGCTGGACTATTTATAAATACAAGAGAGGCGGCTTTGGATTCTAATGTGATGATTCATCAAGTTACAGATCAACATAGAAATCAATCAGTTGACATACAACTCAAAGAAAAGAAACCAGAATGGAGACTTAAGCCACAAAAGCAAAACCAACAAGATCAAGTTATAGATCAGCATGAAAACCAAATAGTTGATACACAATTTATAGAAAGGAAATTAGGATGGAGATCTAACCCACAAAAAGTCAAGAAAAGAAGAAGCAGGTCTTACAAAAACAAAAAATTTTAAACTAAACAACAGTGCAATGCCAGTTATCTAAGAGATGATTGAATATATGACAAGATAGCTGAGGCAAAGTATTGATTTATATTATCCTGAGGACAGTGACAGACCTCTGCAGTGCTGTACTTTTGGGATGTGAAAAGGGCCTTGGGACTTTTGGGATGTGAAAAGGGATAATGGATTGGAATTATCTACTTTGGATTCTTTGATAAATGTATTACGTTTATGTTGAGCTACAAGGCAAGAGAGTTATGGGATTGGGGCACGCAGAAGATCTGGTTGTTACCCTATTACGGTGTTGGAATTAATAATTTAGATGAAAGACACTACTATAGACACTATATGGAATACAAATATAAAGTCACTTGGGTGGTTGTTTTTTATATATCAAGACATCTATTGTTGATGGGGGCAGATGGTAATTGAAGATACCGACCATACTGTTGGAATTAGGATGTGATGTTACCCTAATATGGGTGATGGAGTTAACAATCCAGCTGAAAGACACTACAGAAGATATTATATGGATTACAAGCTTAAAGTCATTTGAGGATTTTATTTATATAAGGGAATACTTCTTAGTGGTGTGGGCAGAAGAATAAAGAGATCAAGAATTATTATGTATGGTAGTTCTGTAGGAATGTGGGTGGAGATAGGTTAGCTTATTGATTGTTTAGTTGAAGAAAAGGGATATTATGTTCAGATATGAATATATGTAAAACATTTGAGTTAAGAGATATATCTATGGGGTGGAGGAAATGGGCAGACTATGAGTTGAATAAATGTTAAATTAGGATTTATTATATAGTTTTATAGTGGAAGGTTGCTTTGAAATGTTATATTAATATACAAAAAAAAGATTTGATTTAAGAGATATATGTATGGGGGAGGAGTAAAGGAGTAGATCATGAGTAGAAATTGTTAAATTGGGGGATATAATAATATTACTATGCTAAATTAGGAGTTATTATATAATGTTATAGTAGAATGTTATTTCGAAATGTATAGTATAAGGGGGATATAATAACATTATTAGAAAGAAAGGGTCAGTATATGGGGGATGGAGCAAGGGGATGGTAAAGTATTATATAATCTGTTATGAATTTGGGTTGTACCCTGAAGAAGCCACGGGGGGGGGAGGGGGAGGGGGGTTAGGGAGGAGGGGGGGAAAAGGGGGAAAATTTGTATTTGAAAAACTTTTTCAATTAAAAAAAAAGATGTTTAATAGAAACAATAAATATATTTAATAGAAAAGGAATGACTTCTATGAGTTATTGGGTTTGATCCTTGAATCTACGTAACAAATTAGTAGCAGAGGTCAGTTTTATGCCCATAACTCTGAAACATGACTGAAAGCAAAAAAAGAATGAATACCAGAGAATATTCAAAATTAATGGCAGCGCAGCTGTCACCACCCAAAGCAATCCCAGAGGGAACAACAAACGAAAGAAAACCAGCACTAAATTCCAAAACTACACCAGAAAACAATGACAGGAGAATCGAAGAAGAGACAGATGCCACAGCAGATTCAAACGAACTGAGAAAAAACATATTAAAAATACTAAACTCACCTACCGACAACAAAGGACTCGTCGAAAACCTTGGACAACTAATTAAACAACACGTAGCCGCAGATGGAGCTCAAAAATTGAACATGAAGGCCACAGAAACCAGCCCGGTGAGAGACGAACCAAACGGCAACGGCCAGTATGAAACTGGCAGGAAAATTTTGGCTCCCATTTTCAAACAGCGGCCATCTTTAATCGAACAAACAACAAAGATAGCCGACCGCATACTAAGGGATGACCCGAATCCAAAATGGCCAACACAGACTCAAATCTATTTAAAAATAAAAGAAATAAAAACAATACCTCACTCACAAAATCAACCCACTGAAGCCAAAATAGATAACGCTATTAAAACTCTCACCACGGCTTTTGGGTTGGAACTAAAATTACCACTACATTACCCATACGCACTAAAAATGTCTGGAGAAATTACAGACATTGAAGAAAAAATAAACAAACACTATACAAAGGGCGCAGACATCACCACTGAAAGATCGCTGACACTATTCAATCCGGATACTAACTACAGCCTTCCACCGCTAACGCGATCTCCAATACCGAGGGACCGCGACAAATACTTACCATCACAACAGCATCACCCGACTGACCAGGACATCTACACAGACGATCCATCAATGACCCAGAGGACGACTCAATTCCCATTTGACCACAGCCAGCACCCCAAGACTGAACCTGAGCCTCATCCAGTCGAAACAGGCCCACGCCCAGGAGCAGCGGTGACAGGAACCTCTCTTGATGACTTCAGAATAAAAATGAACTTCGCACATGCGTAGAATAACCTAAAGGAAAGAGAAGAAAAAAAAGTTCAAGCCTATCTTTTTAAATTGCCTGCAAGTATTCCATTACCATACTGCTGCTTTCCTATGATTCAGAACCATGGACAGCCACTCTCAGTAAGTAACACCTCACACAACTCAGGGACTTTACCCATCAACTTCCCTATTTTAAAATTAGATGGAACCAATTTCCAAGAATGGAATCAACAACTCCAAGTCACTTTTCTGAGAGAAAACTTACTTTACATGATTACTGACCCTCCAAAAAAACCTTGGACACTTGAATTGGACTGCCTACATCACAAAGCATTTTACCTACTAATAGCTAGTATTTCCCCCAGTATTTCCCCTAGTATTAACCATTATTTAATTGTACCAGAACTAATACAATGTATGTTTGACCTATTCTACAGCAAAAGTGTGGCAACAACAACTCGAATTTCTAGAAATTTCCATTCTGCTAGACTTAGAGCAGGGACTTCAATGAACGAACACATATTGAATTTAAAGGCTACCAGGGCAGATTTACTACAGAGAGGAGAAATTATAACAGAAGAAAGCATGAAGAGCATTATTATAAATTCACTAGACCCTAGTTGGGATAATTTCATAGCTCAACTAGACAGTATTACAATAGGGCATCTATCAATAGAGACACTAACGAACAAATTAATTGCCGAAGATAATTTAAGAAAAGATAGATCACTACACCACAGAGATAGTAGAATTATTAAAAGGGTAGAATTCCATAGCAGAGATAGGGACATGCCTGAATGCTACATATGTGGCTCCAAGAGTCATTACAAAAGAGATTGTCCAAAAAATGTTAGAGGAAGAGATCATTACCAAAATAGAGACAGACAAGAAAATAGACATAGACACTCAGATTACAGATACAGACGAAATGACTCTCCCATACAAAGGGATAAGAGAAAATACAGAGATAATTCCAAAGAAAATCAGTCAGGAACTCTTTACAGGCTAAGGAATCAGAAATTCTACACCAATCCAATAAAAAAGGAGAATCATTGTCTTATAGATTCAGGAGCCACTAATCAAACTACTTATGACAGGAGATTGCTCACATCTTTTACAAAAGAAAACTTTATAATTAAAGTAGCCAATCAAAATAATGTTTTGGTAACTGGGAAAGGAAACATACATATACATGGGATAGGTGAAATAGAGGGAGTACTTCTTGTCCCCAAAATACCCCATAATATACTTGCAGCATTGAAGCTGAGCAGGGATTTAGGCATAGAAATCCCCATTAAAGAAGGGAAGGTATACATGACAAAAGACAAAGTAGACATAAAGGGAATTACAATTAGTGGAAACCTATCATATCTTGACACAGAAAGCTACAATCAATCTAGCATTAACGCCAATTTAGACTCAAGTGAAACCCAAGAAGATTCTCACAATTATAATACACCAAAAAAGAATAAAGTTCTAATAGGGAAACCTTTACATGATGAATGCGCACATTTACTACACAGAAAGCTGGGACACCTTAGTTTTCCTGTTATTCAAAAGATGGCTAATTGTTCCGAAGGACTAAAAGTAAAAGATTGTAAAAATTACCTGGAGTGTTCTGTGTGTAAGTCTTCTAAAATCAAAATCAAACCCAGACCAAGAAAAGCAACACGCACAACCAGTTCCACTTTCCAATTAATACACATGGACCTAGTAGGTCCCCTAAAACCTTCCATAAAATATAAAAAAAGATTTTTCTTAACTATTGTAGACGACTTCAGTCACTATGGTTTTGTATATACCCTTAATCACAAAAGTGAGGCATTTCAAATATTTAAAGAATTTTATAAAAGAATAGAAGTACAGAATAACATTAAAATCAAACAAATTATGACTGACCGCGGGTCAGAATTCCTATCCAAAAATTTGTCAATCTGGCTAAAGGAACATGGAATATTACATTTCACTTCTTCACCGTTTTCAGCTTTTCGAAATGGAGTGGTTGAACATAGAAATTACACCCTACAGACAATGATGAGATGTGTTTTAGATGACGCAGGACTAGGACAAACATTTTGGGCCAAAGCACTTGTATACTCAAATTATACACTTAATAGATCTTGGTCTAGCATATTGGATAAAACACCTTATGAGGTAATGTATAATAAAAAACCTCAAATAGCTCACTTACACATGTTTGGAGTAACAGCAGACGTGCTCATACCAAAACAATTGAGACATAAGGGGGAAAAGGTGTCAAGGAGATTGAGATTTATGGGTTATGAAATAGGAACCAAAGGATTTAGATTTGTGGATAATCATAATAGATTTATTGTGTCCAGGAATGCAGTTTTTCATGAACAGTCAAATTGGTCAAAAATACACTTAAATTAAATACATAACTGTCAAAACCAACATAATAATGAACAAGATATGAGAGAACAAACCTTACCCGAAAACAATAAACAAGAGAAACACAAACCCAAACACCAAGATATTAACATCAAAGAATGGAAGGAAGGTCACCCAGATATAAAATTAGACACTCTAACACAAAAAGAAGCCAAGTATTTACACGACTCAGAAATATTACACGACAGACCAATTAGAACCAATAGAAACCAAAACCCCAAAAGATTAGAAGATTATGTTTTAACCATCCAAACTGATAATCTAACCCCCAACTCATATGAAGAAATAACAAAACTGCCCCAGAAGGAAAGAAATAATTGGGAACAAGCAATGGAAAGGGAAATGAATAGTCTTAGAGAACTGAAGGTATATATTGTGCAACAGTTTCCACAATTCCTGGAGGAAACATCCTATCTAGATCCGTTCCAGTCGGGTTTCAGGTCTGGGCACAGCACCGAAACGGCATTGGTCGCGTTGGTGGATGATCTCTGGAGGGCTCGGGACAGAGGTTATTCCTCTTTTCTGGTCCTATTAGATCTCTCAGCGGATTTTGATACCATCGACCATGGTATCATGCTGCACCGGCTGGAAGAGTTGGGGGTGGGAGGCACTGTGTTCTCCTCCTTTCTCTCCGACCGGTCGCAGTTTGTGTTGGCAGGGGGGCAGAGGTCGACCTCGAGGCCTCTCATCTGTGGAGCGCCGCAGGGATCGGTTCTCTTGCCCCTTCTGTTCAACATTTATGTGAAGCTGCTGGGTGAGATCATCCGTGGCTTTGGGGTGAGATACCATCAGTACGCTGATGACACCCAGCTGTACATCTCCACCCCAGGCCACCCCAACGATGCCCTTGAAGTGATGTCCCAGTGCCTGGAGGCTGTGCGGATCTGGATGGGGAGGAACAGGCTCAAGCTCAATCCTTCCAAGACTGAGTGGCTGTGGCTCCCGGCATCCCGATATAGTCAGCTGACTCCATCACTGACTATTGGGGGCAAGTCTTTGGCCCCCACTGAAAGGGCTCGCAATCTGGGAGTCCTCCTGGATAGGCAGCTGTCTTTGGAGGAACATCTGACGGCTGTAACCAGGGGGACCTTTTATCAGGTTCGCCTGATTCGCCAGTTGCGGCCCTTTCTCGATCGGGATTCCTTGTGCACAGTCACTCACGCCCTCATCACCTCTCGCCTTGACTACTGCAATGCTCTCTACATGGGGCTCCCCTTGAAGAGCACCCGGAGGCTCCAGCTGGTCCAGAATGCAGCAGTGCGGGTAATGATGGGAGCAACATGGCGCTCCCATGTAACACCGCTCCTGCGCGAGCTGCAATGGCTCCCGGTGGTCTTCCGGGTGCGCTTCAAGGTGTTGGTTATCACCTTTAAAGCGCTCCATGGCATAGGGCCCAGCTATCTGCGAGACCGCCTGCTACCGACGACCTCCCATTGACCCATGTGCTCCCACAGAGAGGGCCTCCTCAGGGTGCCATCAGCCAAACAATGTAGGCTGGTGGCCCCCAGGGGGAGGGCCTTCTCTGTGGGGGCTCCCACCCTCTGGAATCAGTTGCCCCCGGAGATAAGGAGAATCCATGACCTCAATGCCTTCCGTCGTTCCCTGAAAACCCATCTTTTCCAGCAAGCCGGGTTGGCTTAAGAAGAAATTTTTAAATTCTTTTAATTAGTTTGTGATTTTTTAACTTTCAGGCCAAAATTTATATATATTTTTAAATGTTTTAATATTTGTATTCTATGTTTTTTATCTTGGCTGTACACCGCCCTGAGTCCTCAGGGAGAAGGGCGGTATATAAATTGGAAATTAAATTAAATTGGAAATTAAATATACCCCCGCTAAAGTCCCAAACCACAAAACCCCAATTGGAACCAAATGGATATTTAAAATCAAGAATTTAGATAATGACAAAATATTGTACAAAGCTAGATTAGTGGCACAGGGTTTCACCCAAAAATATCCCGAAGATTATACGGATACCTATTCCCCCACAGTTAGATCCGAAAGTGTTAAAAGTGCATTGACAATAGCATCGATTTTAAGATTAGAAGTCTATCAATTTGATGTGCAAACCGCTTATCTGCATGCAGATCTTGAGAAAGAGATTTATGTCAAAGCCCCACCTAGCAAAAACTCACAAAAGGGAGAGACTTGACTTTAAAACAAAAGTCTATATGGATTAAAACAATCTGGAAAAAGGTGGTATGAGTGTTTGGACAAAGTCTTTAAGTCAATGGGTTTCACAGCCACATTAGCAGATAATTGCTTCTTTATTAAGAAGACAGATGACTCTATTGAATATGTGCTTATTTATGCAGACGATATATTGTACTTTAGCGACAAAAAATGTACATATGACAAATGTGCTAACGACCTAGGTAAACATTTCTCTTTAAAGGCTTTGGGTAAAATAAACAAGTATCTTGGGGTGCAAATTACAAAAACAGAAAAAGGTTTTAGCCTATCTCAAAAAGAAAAAATCATAGAACTTTTACACAAATGTAATATGCTCAATGCTAAACCTAGTGAAACTCCTATGCAACAAGACTTCTTAAAAAATATGTATATCGAAGCCAGCGGCTTCACAGACAATACTTTTTATAGATCAGTCATAGGTT